ACTGAAATTTTCGTACTGATCTGCGCAATGTAAACCAACTGGCGCCATATTTGTTATCAGCACGATGATTTGAGCGTGCCAAATTATTAGAAAAGTGTATGAATTTAGTGAAAAGATGGGCCGTAAAAGCAGTTTAAGTAATGCTGAAAAAAAACCTATCATCTCAGAACTCTCAAAAGGTAAATCTACCCTAGAAATTTCTAAAATGATAGGGAGGTGTCATCAAACAGTGAAAAAGTTCACCGCCGAGGGTTATTTCACGTCGTCTCATGTCACGACTTAAACGAGAGGCCAGGAATAACCCTGGACTTACCGGTCAAGAGCTTTTCAGTCGCATTGAGGATCCTACTGTGTCTAAAAGTACTCGGTGTCGGTATCTGAGGAAAATAGCAACAACAGTCAAACTTGTATCGAAGTCTCCGTTGACGAGAAATCACATTCAAAATCGATTGAAATGGGCCGAGGACAATATGAAGATTGACTTCTCTAAAGTTTTGTTCACAGACGAAACTCGAGCAACACTTGATGGGCCAGATAGATGGTGCAAAGGCAGGGTAATGAACGGACAGAATCGCCACCAGAGTTTGAGACGCCAACAAGTCGGTGGAGGCATAATGATCTGGAGTGGTATTATTGGAAAAACATTAGTGGGCCCATGGAGAGTATCAGATGGCGTCAAAATTACTGCTGATGCAGACATAGCGTTTATGAAGGAGCATCATGAATTGTGGAGGAAAAGGCAAAGAGTTGCCTTCATATGTTAAGAAATGGACAAGGTCCGACAATTTATTTATTAAAGACATTTTTTTTTTATGTTTAACGTTGTTATTTTATAGATACAAGTATTTAAGCAAATGCTCTGTTTATGATAAACAGTATTAAATAACATTTACCGGCCTGAATGTCCGAGAAATTTTCATAGAAAATATTCGTTCTTTGACAAGATTCGAACCTGCATCCTATACGGAACCGTCATATACGCTGACGTGCCTTACCTCTAGTAAGGTCCGACAATTTATTTATTAAAGACATTTTTTATGTTTAACGTTGTTAAAAAATGTCTTTAATAAATAAATTGTCGGACCTTGTCCATTTCTTAACATATGACGTCATTTGTTTACATTCGATACGCCAGAGCAGTTATGAATGTACGAGATTCATGGAAGATTGGAGTTTATAAGCAGTAAATTCGACCTCGTCTACCGATTGGTTCTTTGTAGCCTAGAGGTAAGGCACGTCAGCGTATATGACGGTTCCGTATAGGATGCAGGTTCGAATCCTGTCAAAGAACGAATATTTTCTATGAAAATTTCTCGGACATTCAGGCCGGTAAATGTTATTTAATACTGTTTATCATAAACAGAGCATTTGCTTAAATACTTGTATCTATAAAATAACTACGTTAAACATAAAAAAATGTCTTTAATAAATAAATTGTCGGACCCTGTCCATTTCTTAACATATATATATATATATATATATTTATACGTATATGTGTGTGTGTAAATTTTCAGAATATAACTAAAATTGTTTCTGTAAAAGGAAAATATGAATAATTTGTCTTTATTCATATATATATATATATATATATATATATATATGTTAGCAAATGTAAATGGATATAGATCCGACAGAATGAAGAAAAATTTGGAAAAAACAAACAAAAATCCTTAAATGCAATTATGTTCTTTAAAATGAATGAAATGTCGACGTTTCGGTTTAATAAACCTTCTTCAGGACAATATTCATTAAAATATAATTCAGTTCAATTTGACAAAGACGATGGACATAAAAACAAGTCTTATCCAAAACAGATAACTGAAAATTTTTAAAATGATCAGCTTTCCGTTTAGCATGGTCACGTTGTCGTCACATGGGCGACGCTTTCAAAACGTATTCCTAAAAAATTTTTGATTATTTTAAATGAAAAAGAAAATGAAAAGAATTCTATTAGGATCTAAGATTTTTATGTGTATGCTTGTCGAGCATTAATCTCGCTAAAAAAAGGGAAATACAAAAGAAACCAGGTCTAGTATTCACCGTGCGTGAGATGGATATTATACCTGCTTCATAAATCCTCCTGAGATTTTTATTATGAAAATATTTTAATACCTTCACGGAATCGAAATCGAATTATGATCTGCTTTAGTTATTGTGTACAACTAAAGCATTGTTAAAATTTCCGAGGCGAATATCTCGTTTATGTTCGAAAACACGAGATTTTACGGACCTACATGTTTCACCCACATATTTTAGGTCACAGTTTTTGCATGATATTTGATAGATGCAAGCATCGGATGTAATATGTTGTCTGCTGGTGCTATTTAATAAACTACGGATAGTTCTAGTAGGTAATATTGCAGTTCTAATTTTTAAAGCATTTAGATTACGAGAGATACGTTCGGTCAAATGGTTATTTGGTAGAAAGATGCGACCAAACGAAATATTATCAGAGGCAACTGAAAGTGTACCTTTCATTGATGTAGTTGTAGTGGCCTTCGAGGTGTCATTTTGCGCTGATGAGTGAATTTTCAACGCTTTATTTTTAGCTCTCTGTAATAATTGCCTCGATACGAAAGATTTGAAAAGGTATCCTCAATATATGTGAATTCATTATTTAAATATTTTGATGAACAGATGCGAAGAGCCCTTAAATAGAATCCAATAACAATACCCCCTCTTAGTGTTAGTATCATGGTGAGAGTAAAAAATGTAAATAGTCATTTTTACATGTAGGTTTACGATATACTTTGAATTCTAATTTATTTTTATTTTTTAATGAGTAGTATGTCTAAAAAAGGTAAGGAATTATTAGATTCAAGTTCATAGGTAAATTCTATAGTAGGTTCTATTCTATTTAATCTATCAGTAATATTGTTCAAATCATGTTTATGTGAGTAGATAAATAAAATGTCATCGATGTATCGGAAGTAATGTGTATCAGGTGGAATGACATCTTTAAAAGGTCCAGATTCAAGAAATTCTAGAAATATGCATGCTAGGAATCCAGATAGAGGACTCCCCATCGGTAAACCAAATTTTTGTTTATAATAAATATTATTATATTGGAAGAAACAATGTGAAGTGCAAAGGATGCATAATTTGATTCATTTCGAGATAGAGATAGGTAGCTTAAAGTCAATTTTCTTAAGGTGGTTCTCTAATTGTTTAATGCATTTATCAACAGGTATATTAGTATATAAAGATTTGACGTCTAAGCTAGCTAATGATTTGTTATCTATATCAATATTTCTCAACTTATTTAGAAGAGAGCTTGAATTCTTTATATGTGCGTTACTTACGGTGCCCAGAATTGGAGTTAGAAATTTAGTTAAATACCTAGCGATATTATGAGGAGCTGAGCCTATACCCGAGATGATGGGCCTTAATGGAATGTTAGGCCTATGGGTTTTGGGGAGGCCATAAATTTTAGGGACGGTGGGGTGGTAGTTAATAAGGGAAAGCAAAATCTTATCTTCATTACATATGAGTTTTCTTATAGGACCTATTAAATTCTTTTAGATATACGTACGTATATATATATATATATATATATATACATATATATATACATATGTATATGCATATATATATACATATATATATATATATGTATGTATATGTATATATATATATATATATATATACATATAATACAAGTACAAACACTTTACATACATATAGTACACATAAGCTTATATAAATACACAAAATAAATGAAATGAATAAATCGCCATTTTACATTCTTAATTACGCACATCCTCGTTATTTGTGTTTTTATTTTGTTGACTGCACAGTATAGTAGGGTCAGTTGGGCACCGCCTGTGCGAAAAAGAGCACCATGACGCAATTTACTCCGCCAGAAATTTGAAAACGACATTCTGTGCCGTTTGGTAATACACCGGACGATCCAATACGAACATTTCAAAGTGTTTGAGTGTCAATCCGAAGACAGTGCAGCGGATTCAGAAAAAGTTGGATGATTCTAATGGTGATTACGAAGATGTTTGGAGTGGTCACTGGTGATAGCGATGTTATGCCTCCATTCATCCTCCACAGAGCCTCGCAATCAACAGGGATGCCTAGTTAAAGTCACTTGAGAAGGTAATGCGACTCTGGGTCAAGAGGATGGCTGCTGGAACACTCTGTGTCTGGTAACAGGACTCTGCACCATGCCACTCAAAATATATATATATATATATATATATTGATTACATATATATATATATATATATTGATTACATATATATATATATATATATATATATATATATATATAAATCTTTTGAAATTTTACGTATTGAAAATGAAAGCAACAAACGAATTCACAACCTATAAACGGTCTCCTGCAAGATTCAAGGGAAGTCATTCGTCTAGATAATCCTGATCGTTGATACTAAATTAACAAGAATTGTTTTATTTATTTTTAAAATATATTCGAGTAATTTGTATAAGAACTGAAATTTTCATTTATTTAATTACTCCGTCGAGCTGTCATTTACATATGTCTATTTCTGACTAATTTTCTGAAATCAAATATTCGGTTTTTCCGTGACTGGTATCCTTGTTTCGACTAATGCGTTCTATCGGCATCTTGAATTGTGTCATGGCCTTAAATAAAGTCTTATTTAGTCGGACGTATTAATCGTGCGAAACTTTCCTCGTAATATTTCTGAAGATACTGGACTCAACAAACTGCTAAATTAAATAATAATAATAATTAAATGTAGAATGATCCGTCTGAAAATTTGATTTGATTGATTCATTTTCTTATCAACCCATTTCAGGTTATTAAAAGCTAGAAGATATATTTACATTCTGAGATTTCTTGGAGAAATAATGGTTTAGTGATATATGTTTTACAAATTAACCCAAATTAGCAAATTAAGGCAAGAAGATGTAGGTTGATACCTTTGCCAACAAACCCAACTGGAATTGGAACTCGGTTCTCCGAATTCCAATTCCGAGTTGTTATCCATTTCACAACACACACATCTAAGCTTACAGCGCCTGATATTCTCAATCGGTTACCCATCTAGGTACTGACCAGGCTCGACGTTGTTTAACTTCGGTAATCGTACGGGGACCGGCTGAAACTATACAATCACAAAAAATACATTATTATATTAGCTTGGATTTCTGAGATGAGGTATTGTAATTATTTACATTGTTCGGACTGTTGTCCTCATCTTCACTGCCTTATTCAAGACGTTTCAGTCGTTGTAGGCTCGGATCTTCTTCAGGTGACTGGAATTTCAAAACGTCGTGAATATGGCAATAAAAATAATGTAAATAGCTTGGATTTATCATAAAATATTGTCTATTTGGTTCCATTTTTTTGAAAACGGTTCCTTTCTTCGAAGTATGTATATTGTGAAAGAATATTACCTTCGTACAACCACATACGTATATATATATATATACATATATATATATATATATATATATATATATTATAGTAATTCATCCCGTCTAGAAGACTCCTTAATAGAATGCACTGGACGCATGCAAGTATTCATAACCCAACAGATTGTGGCCCAAGAGCCACGACTTTCCTTCAACCCGAAAGGAAAGTCGCTCCGCCGCAGTCAAGCAATGATATACAAGTAATAGAATTTGGATGACTTAGGCAAATCATTATAGTATTTCATCGAGTCTAGAAGAATCCTCAACAGAATGCAGAAAGCCGTTTCGTCCTATTTTGGGGGGTTCATCAGCAGTGCGCATCCGCTACCGAGATTCGAACCCGAGCCGTTTCGATACAACGCATGCGTCATACCAACTGTAACAACGGGCCTCGGTGACGAAGAAAAATGAATAGACTCAATACAGCGCCGCTACTCACAAATACTCATCCACGTGTTCATAACCCAAGAACCACTACTTTCCCCCGAACCGTTCCATCGCACAGCATTAACTGGGTCAAACAAGGATATACAAGTAATAGAATATATATATTTCTCTCCATATAATAATTATAATAATAATAATAATAATAATGGACTCTCCCGTCGGTTTCGACGTATGAGGATCTGACAGCTTACCGATTCAGTTATAAAATTTTGTGTGATAATCTTAAGTGGCATTTAAGACCCACTAGTGATTTACAAAGGAGAAATCTCCATATATATATATATATGTATATATATATTCTCTCATTTTTTATATATATATATATATATATATATATATATATATATATATATATATATATATATATGAGTAGACACCGAGGTCAGCAAGTGGTGACAGACCATTTAATTCTTGAACGAAATCTTCAAGCCATGTGTGTTGTGTTTTGAGTCGGCTATTTATATATGCTTGCCAATAGTGCATTATGGGTAGCAAGGTCTGTTGTTTTATCCTAACTGGTATTGGTTAGGTGGTAAGGGTTATGTTTCAAATTATTCTAAAGGCTACTGACAAGGAATAATTTGGGATCCGAATGAGTTTATTTCTAGCTATTTTATAGCGGTGTTTGTTAACAATTTTACTCAATATTTATTATTGGTTACTTAATTATTTCTTTATTAATAATATTTGTGACATTTACTTATGTCTATATGTGCATTCGTACTTTGTTATATTGTTTATTATTTATTTAACTTTGTTTAATTATTTTTTTGTTTATTTTTTCGTTGATTTGTTTCTTATTTATTTTGTTTAAATATTGGCTTTGTCTAATGAATGTTACATTATCTACGTTGTCCTATTGTGGATAAATTTATATTCTTATTAGTCGTATTTTACAAGATGTTTCTTTTAACTTTTCGAATTTTAAGTAATGTTGTAAATTTTTTCGTCTCTGATCGTTTATTCAGTAGTTTGTGAATATTTATATACGCTCTAACCCTGATACTGAGCACTTTAGCCATACATATAGCCTACCTTAAATTTGTATTTGAACATATCATTATATATATATATATATATATATATATATATATATATATATATAGCTATTAGCCACGCTTCCTTCGCTTATCTTAAGTTTTCTTCATTTTCTTTCGTTCAATTTCTTTCTTTCTTTTTTCCTCTCATTAATTAATTCCCCTAAATGTTCTGAAATCTTCCAAGTACTGATTGACCGCGTAATATGTTGGCAGGTGAAAGCCCCGGATGTTGAGAAACTGGCGCCTTACTGATCTATATCCGGTCATGTGTTGATATGGGACTTCCGCTTCCTCTTCTTCAAGTGGCACGCGAGCTCAAACATATACGCTATCAATTGCATAGCCATACACTTTGAGACATTAGCAACAGCGTGCGAACACATATACATAGCCAGATTCATATGCAACTAAACCCATACAGGAGATGCATATATCTACACGAATATGAACTTAACACTGGCAGTTTCTCACCTATCGTAAAACTATATATATATATATATATATATATATATGCACCAATTTAGTAGATGTCATGGCAATATAGAACTGCTTAGTTTCGTCGGCGGCTGCTCGTGAGATCAAAGCTGACTGAATTCACTTCTTTTTTTATGTACCGTGTCTCTTCGGGATGTGAGCGATCGTGGTTCTCCCCAATGTCCTCTGCTTTGTATTGGGTTGGTGCATAATTATCAGGCGTTTTGTAGGTGAATTATTTGTTAATAAAAATTGCTGTTTTGTTTCCTTTTTTTTAAATATATTATTTTATTTTCAGGTTATAAAAATGCTTGTCGATAATCATACGTTCCGGAATAATCCTTTAAAATGTTATTATTGTATTATGTTTCTTTTTTCATAACAAAGTGTTAAAAAAAACACTTGATAATTATGCACCAACCCAATAGTTCTTACCAAATGTATTTCTGTTGATATCTCTCCTAATCCCTATTCTGCCATCCATCTACTCAAGCTCGTTAGGCAAGGGTTATGCACTGTTTTTCTCTGCTCCTCTTCAATCTGTCCTGTGAGTGATTTAGTTTCTCAACCTTCTTTCCTTATTATGTGCCATAAAAAATTTAACTCTATAAATATAAGTGTCATTTTGTTTCCATTTTCTCTAAAACCTCGTCGATGCTCACATATTCAGTTCATGATATTCTCAGCATCCTCCTGTAGAACCATATTTGTGTTAATTCAAGGCTCTTCTTCATCTGTAAGAAGATTATCCAGTTGTCGCTGCCATATCGAAGGACTGATATTACATAACAGTTCAATTCTATTTGCTTCTCACGAAATTTTGTTTAGCTTTTGGAAAGCAACTTTCGCTATCCCAATGCACCACCGGCTTTTGGTGTAAAATTGTCCTTCCTATTTGAAAACATTTCCCAGATATTTAAAGTTGTTGTATATGCTTCATTTTTATCTCCAATTTATAATTTGCATGTTAGACTCTTCCTTTTGCTGACGACCATATTTTCTATTTTCTTTCTGTTGATGTTTAGTCCTTTCTTCTCACCTTCCTTCACTACAGTATGTAAATGTTCGGCCATTTTCTTTTTGTGTCTGCTGTCAACACTGTGACATCTGCATATTTAAATTGTTAAGACATTGATTGCCAATGATGAATCCTGATAGAACTTCTAATTCTCCCTGTATTGTTTCAATAAATCCGGTAAGAAGTCACACCCTTGTCTTACACCTCGTTCTCCTTTTGTCTACTTACTCAATCAATTTCCTATCCGCATGAAGACGTTTTGCTCGCAGTGTAGTTTCTGGATTATTCTAATATCTTTCCCAAATATGTCATGCTTACCTAGCATTTCCAACAATTTTTTTGTGGCGTAGTTTATCACTCATGGGTATATATGCTTTTGCAAATTTAATTTTTTGTTCTTAATGACATCAGTCTGAGCATAAATATTGCATTCCTAGATCCAGTGTATTCAACTAAACCGCACTGTTTGTGTCCTATTTCTGGTCTAATTCTGCTACGCGCTTTATTCATCAGAATTCAGCATATAAGTTTTGTTATGTGGCTCATAAGGCTGGTTGTCTGATGGAGTTCGCATTCGTTTGCGTCTGGCATCGTAGGTAACGCTATGAAGTTATCTACATAGTACTTCCGGTATATTACCACTGCTGTATATTTCATTTATTATGTCTGTAATTTTACCAGTGCTGAAATCATCTAAAGTTGCCAGCATCTCTATTACAATTCCGTGTTTCTTTGTTTCTCTTCAATTTGGTCAGTGCTGATTTCAATTCAGATTTTAATATTTCTGGTCCTTCGATATTTGCTGTATTGCGTCTTGTCCTCTTTCGGAGTGGTTGTATTTTTTGCATCTCCGAAGTATTTTTCTTTCTTTATTATCTGTGTTCCCACCTCGGATTTTATTCAAGAGCCCATCATTTGTCCTGTTATTTCTCTTATTCTTTTATGCATTTCTGTGAGGCTTATTCTTTCCATTTCAGCACATTTTTCATCGAGGCATTCCCTTTTTTGCCTGCCATCATTTTTTTCTTAATTTCTTTGTGCAGTGTCCTATATTCTATGCCATACCTTGGCATTGTTTATTGTCTCTTTTTATCATGTAGAGAATTTCATCTGTCACCCATTCATTCTTTCCTTGTCTTTCGTTGGGATGAGTTCATTTTCTTAATATTACTAAAGATTCGCTTGATGTGTCCTACTTCGAATTTTCCATTCCCGTTTCGTTCATTGTAACTGCTTTTAACTCTGTCAGTATATTTCTTCAAGTTCGGACTATTCAGGAGACTTTCGTAATGCAATATGGGCGCTGCTTTGGTCCACTTTAATTTCTGTAATTTCACTCTAGAGTCAGATATCACTGGAAGGCGGCCGCTCTCGCAGTCGGTATTTTGGTGTATTTTCCTACGTAAGATTGCTTTACTGATTCTTTTATTGATCGATATGTAGATGATTTGTTTCTTCTTTTGACTTCCTAGGCTTTTCCATGTCTATAGACATCTTAGAAATTCTTGAAACCCAATCTTGGCTAATACCTGTCTAGCCATGCACCACTGGAGTCATTCTTTTTCGGGTTCATTACAAGTTCTTTTTTCCAGCTATTTCATCATCTCTTTACTTCCTTACTGTCATTCAGCGATCCCATGACGATTGTAATTTCCTGCGATTTGCATTGAAACTTGGCGTTGTTTAGCGTACAGTAAAACTTTCAA